TCATGATAAGGTCCAGAGAAGAAACAGTTTATGCTGATACAAAATGAATTTATAAGTAACTTGGTCTGTTGCAACTCAAAGGGATGTGACCTTTTCTATCCATCTCAAGAGTACTCTGAATCTCAAGCATGCTTTTTGAGGGAAAAATTTACAAGTAAGACAGAAATGCAACTGTGCTATTGATTTGTAGAACTCTGTGCAAATCAGGCAATTAATTGTATGCACAAATGATGAAGTAAATGAAAGAAAGAGAAAACTGACCTAATTGAGCTTTCATTTTTTGAAAGATGTGAAATGTATTACTAGATGTATTCAGTACCATTTTAACCGAGACACTCTGTCTTCAGTTTTTGGCCAGCATCCCATGATGTAAGACTGTAACACCATGGATCAAGAACAGAAGTAGAGAGTAATTCATAGACTGAATCAATGTATCATAATTAAAACACCATGTATAAAACAAATTCCGAAATACTACTTTAAGGCTATCATTATAATTGCTTACAGCTTCCTTCTAAATTATCAAATGCTCATTAATTAAGCCCATAAGCCTGACACAAAAAGTGACTAGAGCTTTCTCTGTCTCTCCCTCCAGTGAAAAAGGCTTTGTTTTGCAGAACAAACGGATGCACCATACACTTTCCAGCTAAGAATATCAAGAAGCTTAAAGAAGTAGTTTCTAAATATACAGGACTGATCATACGCTCTTTTGGTTAAAAATACAAAATCTAGCGTGACTGGATATATGACAAATATATATTAAGCTCGTATTTACAAACACTATATATAAAAACAGCTAAGCCATGATAAGGTACAGATATTTTTTTTTTCCAGAAGGAAAGAAAAAATGAGGGAAAAATGGAAGAAAAACTTGCTAGGACATGAAACCAAGACATTTAGGCCATACATTTAATTTCTTTCTTGCATGAGTGAAAAGGTTCTAAGTTAAAAAGAAAATGTTGTACATTAAACCCACTGCTTTTTGCCTATTCAAAATAGTTTCGCAGTTAATAGCACACTGTGGTCATTACTCAATACAAAGCAAAATAAATCACGATATTTCCTCCAGAAAAATCAATGTGCTTAGTTTCATGAACAAAAATAGGACACTGACCTGCAGTAACTCTAACAACTGTGAATCCAGTTCTGCAGTACTTCACAGTCCTGCACTTAGACTTCTTACTGAGTATGGTTCCCGTGCAAGGACTACAGAACAGAAAGCAGGATTCCCTTGCCATATGACCCAGAACACGAGGAGGGATGGGTGAAAAAAAGCACCGTAACGTAAAGCCAATTTGCTCTTTGTATATGCATGAGTTTAGCTTGTGGGTTTTATATCTTGTATTCTTTGCAATATTCTCACATTCAATTCTCATATTTTATCAATATTCTCTGCTTAAGTTCAAAGAAATTTTGTGTTATGTAAACTCACTGTTAGCATCCCTCCCATGCCCCAAAGGAAGTGCCAGCTTTTAGTATATGAAAATTTATCACTATTTATTATTATTACTATTACTTAGTTGTAAGAAGGAAACGGAGTGAGTAGCAGGCAAAGCTCCTTGCTTATCCCCTTCACTGCTCCCCTTCGACACAGGTGAGAAGAGCAGCTCCAGGGCTGGTTCTCTGTGGGCCTTTGGAGGTCAAGGAAGGGTTTGCCACATTACGCTGTTCCCCCCTTCCCACTCCCCAGACTGTTCACAGAGCCTCAAAGCTGGGAACTGAGTGGGAATAGAGAAGCGAATGGGTGAAGCTGGAAACGACCCTTCACAGCTGTTTCCCAAGATTTGGTCAGGGGCCCTGCTCAGAAGCGTCTGCTTCCACCTTGGTACTGCAGATCTTTTTTTGCAAGCATCAGAGAGAGTCGAAGAGCTGCGGTCTGTTGACAACCGCTCAGTTCAGCATCCCTTAGTGCTGCAGTGCAGCAGCAACCGGCACGGCACCAGCACGCTGCGCGGTGGTTTGGGGCAGGAAGAGAAGAATACCATCGCATCCAACTAAAGTAACAGTGCATTTGGGGTGGTTGAATCCAATTACTGGGACTTTGGCCAGAACATCTGTCTAGACGTCTACACTCTTGCAAAAATGTTATGGGATCTGTGGTGGCAAGAAGTGGTCAGGATCTTGGTTTTTTAACATCTCATTTGGAAGACAACAGAAGCAAGAGTAATGTGATGGCTGGCTGCTGCCCCAGGCAGGATTCATCAGCAGCTCTGGAGACAGGGTGCCGCCTCCGGCAGAGTCATACCGCCGAAATGCCCATGGCAGGCATCACGCCGAGAGCAAGTGTACGACAGCCCCTTGTTCTGGGGGAGTGAGGGGACTGAATGCAGGACCCGAGTCCATCACATCCTGTGATGCAGATCAATGTCAACTAGGGCTCAGCTGCCTTGACTTTAACTTTGCAAGCCAAAATTGTACTTAATGAAATATTTAATCTCTAATATTGGTGGTGTGTAAACAAAACAAAACAAGGATATGAGCTAGATTTGGCTTGGGTTTTGCAAGGAAACAAAAACAAGTAATATAATTGAGAAAGAAGGAGCTGGCAGCAGGTAAGTTGCCATCAGAAGTTGGTGACTGCCCTCCTTGATGACAATGCCATGGCCTCAGAGAGCTGCTCCTGTAGTTTCCTAGCCAAGTCTGCAAGCATGTGGGCAGGGGAGGGGAGAGGAGGTGCTACTTAGCTCATATCACAGGGTATTTCTTTCATTTCACTCATTACATGAATTAGACAAAGTCAGAACTTGTGTTTCATCCACAGGGATTTCTGGGATGGAACATTTTCACCTGGTCTTGCATTTTTTTACCAGGGGTTCATCTCCAGGGTAGCACTTTATTTAATAGTTTTGTTCTAGACAATAATAGACTCGTACAGTTGATACAGTAGCTTAAAATGTTAATGGTATCAAAATACTTCATTTGGATGTTAATGCTCTGTGTCAATGTACTCAGATACTGAGGCAGCAGAGAGTACAGATGCAGCTGACTAATATTCAATTTGCCTCCTCTTGCTCCTGTTCATGTGGTCCTCCCCATCCAGCGGCCCGAAGCTCGCCGCTGGTTCTGCAGCAACATCAGCAGTTCTCAGACACAGCTCTCACAAGCCCTCCTACTTACTTCCAGTTTAGCTTCTAATTCTTTTGTCAAACATCTTCCACTTTCCCCCAAGTCTTCTTTATCTCTTTATATGGTCTTATATTATGCCACTTTCAAGCTCCATTCTGGCTGCACCTCAAGGAGAAACGGCGTTACCTTGGCCTGTCAGGGATTCCTAGGTACTCCAGCATCTGACATCTGACAGCAGCAGTCTATCCTTCTCTGCGGATCGGTGCTAGGAAGGGATACAGAAAATCTTTTTCCCAGATACTTGTTTTCACCTGGGAAGGGCAAGACCAACTTGCTGTCACGTCCCATGGGCAGCCTCCTGCGGCCATCTCGCTCTTCCTATGGTTGTTACCACTCTCCCCCAGTACTCCAGTTCATCCTCGCCCAGTCCTCCCTCCTCCACGGCCCTGTCTCACTGTCCCAGTCTCTCCTCAGCTAACTTGCTAGAGTTTTCCTCTTCTGGCTGCTTCTGCAAGTCTTGGTCTCCTTGCCTGGAGACCCAGCGCTGGCCTGAGGCTTCACCCTTCTGAGTCCTAACTATGCCTTTCCCTGCACGGCTACCAGCTGGCTCCCGTAGAGTATCAGTTCTGGCTTTTTTTCCACCCGTATTTCATTCGTGGAGGTTTGCCACCATTACTTGCTCCATGCAACAACGTATTTTTGCCAAACCTTGTTCTGGCTGAAAGTGTTAATGTTGGTGAAATCAAGTAGAAGGGTACTTCTGGTAAAAAATTCATACCTATTTCCCCTCACCTTCTTTTACCCTGACCAGGTACACAACTAATGAAATATACTCAGAGATGTACCCACTGCTGGTCTTCTGTTACCATACTCAATCAATAAGAACAATTTAGAGCAGCGGTAACCTCTTCATGCATACTTCCATTGTCCCAAGGGATCAATATAATCAGTATCGCAGCTGGCTGGTGAGAAATAATGAGATTATGATAACAAAAAGGCAAGCTTTCCAAATTTTTTCTTAGTGTATGCCAAAACACCATACTTTTCTATCTGTCCATAAAGGACAAAATAGCAATATTTAAGAATATCTATTAAAAAAAGTATATAAAAATACATTTTTATATATGATTTCTTGAACTTTAACTTTCTTTGCAAACACAGTATTTCTTTTCTTTAAAAGCAACTGTGATATTTGACTTCATTCTTAGAAAGGGGCCATTATCTGTTTAAAACTATACCAAGTTTTCCACAGATTTCTCCTGAACAGGATAGCCATTTGCAAAAATCTGGTTTTGCATGATAGCAATACTTGTCTATTCATGGCTAAAATTCACCTAAGGGATAGAGCTGGTTAAAATCATACATGTGTATTAAAAAAGACAAATTATACTAACAGTCTTAGCAGTTATATCACATGTTTATGGAAACTGAAAAAGCAGAATCTAAGGTGCTGTCCTCTCTCCTGATACTCCTCTTGGACACCCCGCCTTGAGCAGTGGCATTACGCTCTGCACCCCCACTTCGAGTTCATTCCTAGTGAGTGCCACTGCTAGTCAGTTTGCAACAGCTTGAGGCAAAGACTGCCTTTATGGTTGCAATAAAGTATTTTAACAGGTTATCTGAGTCCAGTGCTTAAAAGTAGCTACACATCTCCTAGCACACAATCATGTCAGGTCTATTTTAAGAGCAGCTATAAAAGACAAGATCAGCTGAATCCAAAGGATGAGCTATAGAGCAGTACCGGCATGCGGACCGCACTGTCACTGTTTATGTAGTGATGGAGGGGATGCGGGAAGACTAAACATTTATGAAAGGAACGAAGTTCATTGTCATTTCTACAGTATGTATGGGAACACTCACATTTTACCTACAGTGCTAGTAACAATTATGTTTTAGCTAGCTAGTTAAATAAATGTATTATATATGAATCTTACCTGGGAGGAAATGAGATGTCCAGTTCATACAATCTGTCTTTAAAGACTGACAGCTCTCTGTCAAATTCTAAAAGCTATAAAAGATAGAAATAAATGTATTCACTCTTTAATGTTGAGCTGAAGCAATGTAAAAATACTACATTACATAAAAGGAAATAAACAGACACTTTGATTACACAGCTTGAGGTATATCCCTCATACAATACTTTTTAAAACGTAGTGCAAAACACTCAGTACTATTTTGATACATAAATAGTTCACTGAGAAAAGTGTTCAAAATGTTCCTTTTCATCTCAGTGAAACACGTAACACTGGCTCTTTACAGCAGTGACCCATATGTGTACTTACTATTTCAAGACGGTGAAATTTTTTTAAATTTTATTAGCAATCTTGTCAAAGATAAACCAGACTAGCATTAAAAAGTACAGCAAACTGATATGCTAATCAGCCCACAAAAATGCCAGCAAAAAGTATCATATTACTTCATACTATCTTTAGCTCAGATAAGAAGGTACAATAAACACAAGGATGTGCACATCACTCTTCCTAAGCAAAGACAAGCAGTGTTTTCATACACCTATTTTGGGTGGTGCATGTCAGATAGCAGAAAGAGGGATACGTGACAATAGGTAAAATGTGTTCCCAGGCAGCAGCCAAGACAGAGTACTAGAAGCAGATATTTAACAGAGATGTTCATAAGTCTAGATTTAATGTCCTGTATAAATATTAGTCCTTGCCAAATCTGTTTTCCCCAGGCCTCTGCAGAGAAAATAAATACCTGCAGTCTTTTGTTCATAAACACAAACCTGCGCATAGCAAGTCAATGATAATCGTTCCCATTAAACCAATACTTGTTCTGATGGACAAAACTGACCTTATAACACCAGAACCACGGCTGCTGTTAAGCCTGACGTCTGAGTGAATGAGTGAGTTAAAAGACAAAAAGCTCATAATCTGCACTGTTACTGGCCGTCGCTCTAAGTGCCACTTTCTATTTTGACAAGCGTGTCATCCAAACAGTATCCCGTACGATGGCGGCGTGTTTGCCCGCTGTTCATTAATCATGTCCCATCTCACAGCTGTGCTGATACCATTGTACGAATGGCAGAGGTTCCCAAAGAAATTAGATTGTGTCCCTCTTTCCCCCCTGCCACCTCATAAATCATTCCTGAAACGTGCAATTAGCAGCTACTTGTACACATTAATTATCTGTGTGAAAAGCAGCTACCTGAACCACCTGCACTGCCGATTAGCTAGCTCTCTAAGGCCCACCCCACCTTCTTCAGTTTCTAGTTGCCGTGTTGCTCTATGTACCTACTTTTACACGAGCATGCCAAATAACGGGCGGCTTTCCCTATTTTAGTGCATCTGACACCAAACTCTCTGATGGTACGCTGGAAGAGATTCTGCAATACAAACAACTGCAGATAATGTGTACCTGTTTTAACACCTGATCAAAAGCTTGAGTATCTAAGATGTTCGGATAAATATTCATAAACATCTGTGTTGAAACTTATGGTATGTATCTAATAATACACTCAATCCTAAAAATGTTTGGATGGTTCAGCCACTATTCTTACTGAAGCAATCTCCACATGCTTCAGGAAAAAATGGTTTATCATGCATGTTTCCAGACTGCGATCCTGTATTTAAGTATGTATAGATAGATTTGTAGCCACAATACATACATACAAACTGGCTATGAAAACAAATGTTCCCATTCCTTTCCTGCTCCACGTGTCTCCATCTTAAAGATATTATCTGCCCAACATGAATCTAGCACAGGAAAAAAATCTACCATCCCCAGTTAAAACTTTGCTTTGAAATATATGTCTATTAATACAGTGCAAATACATTTTTCCTACTGTTGCCAAGTAAACAGATCAGAGCAGGGAAGTGGAAGCATCAGGAGAAAGAGGGTTATTTCTGAAGTGTGAAAACTGCAAGGACTGAATAAAAGAACAATGCTCCATAGAACACAATGGTATAAATTACTCATGGGCATTCCAAGGCCTGCGATGTTAAATAGATGCATTGTCCTCTCACACCAATTCACACTTTCCAAGTTTTATACATTCAGATTCTTTTTGCTATGATGATATTTGCAAACTAAATGAAGGCGGAGTTTAGAGGACTAAGTATTTGGAGGTGCACCATTCTCCAAAGAAGTTTCTGATGTGTTTATTTGCTTCAGCTGCTTGTTTAGTTGTGTCTGTGCTATGCAGATGAGCTGCTGACACTGGTGACAGAGAGGACAGATAATAGGAACAAGACTGTATTGTGTGCTGTGCTCTCCATCAGTTCCCCAAGTTTCCCCAGGTAGAGGGACATCTTTAACCTGAAATGACAAAGCCAAAATCTCACGACGACCCAGCGGGATGTCAAAGCCCAACCAGGTGCCTAGAAGAAATATTTAGGGAATGCTCATTGTAGACATTTCATCCTCACATCTAAAACAGTTAAACATTTTCACTGGATTATTTGCACAAACTTTCATTTTGTGCTGTATGTGAAATAATTATTTAATTTTAACAAATTATTTATTTTTTCCTAGCTATTAAGTGACTATGTTACAGTATCTGTAACCTTCTATTCCAATGTGTCCACAAACTATGCAAACAGACATCTGCTCATTCTTACAGAGGGCAATGACAAGTTATTTGTGTGTTCAGGACTGCGTAATGTGAACCCACCTAACAGTTTTTCTTTATTTACCTGGTAGCACTGCAGACAGTGGAGGAGAAATCATGAAAACTTGAACTGTGCACTCTGAGAAAACTCCAGCTAATTTTCCAGTAGAAGAGCATGTTTTAGCTATTACTTTTTTCAGTGTTAAAAGCACGTGGGTTCTCATTTAAGCCTGTAATCTCAAAATGCAAGATTACTGCTGACAAACCAAGGTGTTCACTAGGTCTTGTCACAAACAGTTATAAATGTCACTTTACCTCAACACGACTTAGTAAGAGAAGGAATGGGACCTGACAGGGGCATCATTTAATTGTATTTGCTTTATGTCAGGTACATGGGTGTCTGGAGCTCCTTGGCACTACGGAGAATGAATGAAAATTAATATAGGCCAGGTGATACTGAGGAGCAGTCAGAATCTCACAGGGTACTGTCTTTATTTTTAAAGCATATAACATTGTATTTAAAAAAAATCACCCAGAACATAACTCTATTAATGGCAATTTCGAGCACAAACTGCTCACTTATTTCCATATTGTACACTAAACAGCATTGTTAATAATTTCACTGTTGTAACAGTAAACATGAGTATGCCTGTCACTCTAAATGCCTTAAAAATGACAAAGAAATTAAGTTCAAAGCCTAAAAATCAATATATTGTTCTATTTAATTTACTCATTATAAGATCATCCTTAAGAACCGAATCTTTAAGGTGTTACATGATGTGCTGGGGTAATTTCAGCAATTACACAGAGATTTTAAAATGCTGTGGCTGGAAGTTAATTCCAGAACTGTACGTCATAGGCAGTTCAGAAGACCGTTTTTTTCCCCCCAACTCAATTTCACCAATGTATTTATATCTAAATGATAGCAAGGATGATGCAGGACCTATGTCTTATCTGCTGTAACCACTGAGTTGCTGATATTACGTCAAGATATTTGCTCTACAGTGTCCAGTGACCAGCCCAACATGAACGTTTGATTAACATCTTCCAAATGAAATACCATCCATCCATACGAGTAATACATCTATAGAGGCTAATATCCCATGAGACACAGCGGTAATACACCTTGGAGGATACTGCCATGCAGTATGTGTAAGAAGGGACACAGCATGCATCCACTGGCCTGAGACTGTCAGAAAAAACTCATACCGCAGAATATGATTTTTAAAAACAGGTTAAATTTATTGATAGGATTTCGCAGTCCGAAGTTATGTATTTCTGTTTAGCAAACTTCATGAGCCAGATGCTTCAGTGAGTTTGTATACTCAAACTCCAATTGACCTGAATGTGAATTGGCTTGCCATCAATGAAGTTCTCCGCACGGAATTAAAGAATGACTGAACTTGCAGTAACAGCTATTCCTTATTTAATTTGAGTAGAATTAAAAGCTTTTAGGGCTGTAGTGCCTATCACCTCCTAAGAGAACTACCAAAACTTGTTTTTCCAGGCAACTGTGTTGTCTGCAAAAGCTGCTGAAGACAGTTTCGTTTTTTCCCTGCCCCTTTCTTGTCAGCACTATGATGTACAAGTGTGTTTATGTACGAGGGTGAAGGAGAAGGCAATGCATGATAGCAGGGCGTGCAGTCCTGCACAGGCACTGTCTGCAGAACCTGCACGCCACTCAGTACGGAAAACTGAGTAGGGCTGGATGGACGGTCTTGGTCCTGTGCAGTCCTTCCGATGAGGACTCCAGTGAGCTCCCTCGCCCCAGGGCTGGAGTGTGGGCTGCAGTTCACTGTCCCAGTAGCTCCTGGGGTCGTATGTGGTTAACCAGTGTGTGCTTTGGCCAAACACAACAACTATCTGGAATCCTAAATTTTGGTATTATGGAACTTGACAGTAATCAAAGGATTATAACAGAGTTTAGCCAGCTGTAGAAATCAAGGTAATTTTGCTTGCTTCAGCTTAAAGCAATGAGGCACTCTTAACAGGTCAATGTCCATTGGTATGCCGCAATGGGCCACCTTGGCTAAAATCACACATGTATGAACCCTTTAAAACAGGGCAACTTAATTCAGTCATTGGAGTAGAACAACAGCAATTACTCATTAAGACCTACAGACCAAAGTCAGAGCACTGGTAGATCAGGAGGTGATATTAGCAGCATTTATCAAATCCATCTGCAGGGCCCACCAGAGAATTCACAGCTGTGAAAGGGAAATGAAGTTGCAGACCAAAAAGAGGAGATGAGCGTACAGAAGTGACCTTAGAGAATTAAAATATGTGGACACTGGTCACTGTAACCTCCTTTGCCAGACTTGTACAGCACACGATTTTTTTCAAGAGACTTTGGAAATACAGTAATTTTATCCAGCTTTCCAGTCAAAGAAAAACATTTAGAAACTGATTCAGCAGTCTACTGACTTCAAATAAAGGTTTGTGGA